CTAAAACAGGAAAGTGGTATTGATTGGCCTGGCTCGGCGCTCTGTGACTGGACGTGCCAGAGCCTCGCCCTGGCTCGGCTGGGCCCTCGCCTTGTAAACTCTGCACACCGAGGATTTATTAGATGTGCGCGTACGGTCTCGTGCTTTCTCCTCCAGCAGCAGCTTTGCCGGTGAGGTCTGAACGGCTTCTGGTCCCGCCAGGTGCCGCCGGATGGGCTCCGCGTGGCTCAGGCCTCGGAAGGCCGCTGGTCGGCCCCACCGACGGGAGGTGCTCTTGGAGGCGCCGAGGCAGATTGCGTCCCCCCCCCCTGCCCCCGCAGCCAGCACCAGGAGCACGTGTCCCTTCTGTAGTTCAAAGGCGAGGGCAGGCTTTTCTCATTCTTCCACGTAAATTCACTGGGCTTCCAGGAGCCAAGCGCCACCCTCCCGCCCGCTCCCTGCCCTTTGTGGCGTCCTGCGTGGCGGGGGACCTCCCGTGGCACAATTACGTGTCATCTTCCGAACGTTCGGCGGAGTGCTTGAGATGTAAACGCTCCCTGGGCCGAAGTGGGAGGTGAAAGGTACCCTCGTATTTATTCCATGTTAAGATATTCTTAGTCCTAGAAGGAGAATATCAATTCAACTGAAACATTGGAAAATGTCTCTCCCGGAATGAGAGTGTATGGTTATTACAAGTCATAAAGCTTCTGAAAGCTTGCATTAAAGCGTCCATCACCTGTCAGGGGCATTTGCATGAAATCAATAGTGGCCGCCCATCTATCTTTTCTGATCACCTTTCATCAGGCCGATTCATTAAGTCAAACAGTCATGGTGATTAGCTGGGAGAGAGGAGGCACCCTGACATGTTAGAAATGCACAGTGGGCCACCCTTTTTGTTCCCTAATCAAGAAATGTAATACTTTATCTAATCCTTTTCGGCCCAAGTCGCTCGGTGGGGCCCATCCGCCCGGCTGCCTGCACCGCAACTTTTGCCTGACACCCTTGTCCTGGCCCAGGCAGAGACATGACAAATTGTCCCCCAAGTCAGCGCTGACAGCTTCTGATGATTAATGGTTTGATTATGAAGTGGTTTTACACATATAGAATTTACATCACAGAGAGTTAGAAATTTTGCCGTGTCACATACGCCGAGGCGTTTTGAAGAGCTTTACTATTTGCAAAGAAAAAAGAGGGCAAAATCGCAGCAAAAGCCGTGTCATGTAAAATCAATATGTCGGATCAATGCTTTATTAACAAGAAAATGTCTTACTTCACATTCTTGTGTGGACCTTTGTCTCCGGGATGTATGATGGAATGTCAGATCGCATTGTGGCCCTCAGCTTACGGGCGTTATTACCGAGTGTACGTGCAAGTCTTCCGGCGCCCCCGCGCGCGCGGCCGCCGTGGGGGTTGACACCGGCACTCGAGGAAAACGGTGACCAATTATTTCGGAGCGCGCTTTCAGAGGCAGCCTCTAACCTTGTTCCTCGAAGCCGGAGCCTTTGTGTTCCCCGCACCGGCAGACCTGCTGAGTTGTGTGGTGTTAATCATCAAATTACGTGCTAATGAGTGATGGCCCAAATTGCGGCTGCGTAATGAATAGATGGCGGCAGGTCCGATTAGTCTCAGAAAACGCCCTGATTTATGTCGCGCCATGCACCGTGGCGTTGCTCCGCGGAAAACGATATCTACATCAAGAAGTAATGTACTCTAATAAGTATTTTCATCTTAACTCGCGTCCCCGGGCCTCCGGGCTCAGTTTTTGCTGGAGTCAGGCAGAGCCATAATAAAGCCCAATGGCTCCTTATAAAGCTTGTTAAACACAGAGTGTGCAGTCGGACGGGGTCCCGGCCGTGATTCATGCACTGTACACAGCGCGTGTTCTGCTGATTTATGGCCGCGCACAGTTCATAGTCAAAATTACAATTTGAGGGATAAAAAGATTAATTACTATTTGTGGCCGGCAATTTCGTGAGGCTGGTGGAATGATAGCGCTCTACATCAGTTTGTAGTCAGCCATTCACAGATTATTAAAGCTTTGCAAGAATAAGTGCTCCTCCTGCCCGGTTTGTGCTCAGGCAATATGCTAGACAGAAAAGGACCACAGGGATAAATCTGAAGCTAGCAATAGCTGGACATATGTCATAATTGCCAGTTTCCCATAAATCCCTGGCCAGTGTGGAAGGCCCCGTGTGATGCAGACAGTGATCATGACAGTGGTGATTGCTATATATGGCCCCCAGACTTGCAACTTTCTGACTGCAGTACCATTTCTACAATATATTGAGTAACCCTTTGACTTTCTTCCTGTCTAATTATAGATTAGAAATAATCATTGCCTTTATGTGCAAAACAAAGGGGGGAAATCCATTCCTTTAAGACAGAGCTGGCGTTTGGGGGTGCTCGCCTTCGAGAGCGTCGGAAAAGGAGAATTACACATTTATTTGTAAGCGTGCAATAAACGAGTAATGGATGACATAAAAGTAATTAACCTGACCTACATTTCTGTGTCCTGTTACAG